AGGCAGCGCACAGGCCGCGTGCAGGCCGCGCGCCAGGCCGGCCGGGACACCAACTTGGTAAGTTGTTGGCTGAGTATCGCCTAGTTGTCACGAGGTGCCACGTGTCACAATTTTACTGGAGGGCCAAATCTGCCCTCATCACCTATCGTCCATTCCTAGAAAGCCCTCATAGAGGCCGTCGATCCCCTCCATTACACTTGGACACCAAAGAGGAGCGGCAGTGAATCCAGATCTCCTTCAAATCAAAGGAGCTTCCACTGAAGTCGCAGTCGTTGCATCCCACCAATCTAATGCCAACCTATTTTGGCCAGTAAACCAAGGTCCATTAAGCAAGACCCATTCTGCCTCCTTCGACGGGAAGATGCTTCTCTCCCCCTCTCTTCTTTGGTTTATAGCACCGAAGCTTGGCTAAGCCCCAGCCGCCATCGCTTTTTTGTAAGAAAAGTTCAATCGACGACCAGCAGCCCGACCACCTCACAGGCAAGGATTAAAGTGAAAGTAGGGGGGATGATTCCTGAGAAGTGACTCGGTGTTAAGCAAAACCGTGGTTCTGGTTGATGAGGAACGGCTATAGATGTTTTTGAGTCCTAAAATAGGTTTTGTCATCTTGTCACTGTCAGTCAAGGACATTACTTTCTTTACCATATGTCGGGGATTTGTCTTAATCCCCTCTACTGCCTTTTCTTATGTCTAACATGTGCCTTCTCACATGCTCCTCCATTAGAGCTACGACCTGTGCTCTTCTTCTTCTTCTTCTTCATTTCGTTCATCTGCACTGCTGTCTCGATAGATATTTTTCTTAATCGTAGAGAATCATTTACTTTTTTTGCAAGCTTGGTGACCAAATCGATGTATCTGGGCGCACCTCAGGGGGTCTTCCTGGTGGGATGAAGGAAAGTCAAATTCGATCTATCTCTAAAATATCACCATCAAAATTGTTCATTGGTTGGGTTTTATTTTGAAATTTGAGGAATAGTGGAGAGAAAATTCAACATTTTGTTTCTTTCCATTAGCAATTAACGACAATGTCAATTTTTAGAAACAGTAAGGGTACTTTAAGAAAATATGTAAACAGTAAGGGTACAGTTTGTCAATTTTGTCAACAATAGGGGTAGTTTAAGAGATTTACCCTAAAATAATTTCATTTTTTGTCAATTCTAAATTATGTATTTCATTTTCATTATCAATAAAAGTAATTCTTGTTTATTACCCTTAATTTTTTAATTTGATTAATAAAAATATCATAAATGTGGGTCTAATTTTTTCTATATTTTTGTAATTTTTATATTTATTTCTATTTAAAAAAATTATTAACTAACTATGACTTCATAGGTTGATAAATTTAATTCGGATGGTTGAATTTCTTAACCACCACTTGGATAAATAATGGTTTTGTTTTTTATTCTATTTTAAAATATATGCATTTATATTGTTAAAAATATTGACATATATAGATCTAATTAGTAGCATTTAATAGTGAAAATAACTTAAATATAGGATTTAATAACAGAAAATGAGAATTAATACCTTAAGTATAAGAATTAATGAGAGGGATTAAATGAGATGAAAAGTAATAATTAAAGTAATATTTTCAATCCTTACAATTAGGGATGGACTAAATACATAAATACGAATGCTTAGTAGCTAGCCATTGAATCTGGCATTAAAGTTGTAATAAAATGACTTTTATACCATTTCTAAAACAAAGAAATAGAGGGTAATTTTAATCCAAAAAAAAAACTTTCACTCTCGACACTTTTATATATAGTATAGAGAGGAGGTGGTCCAATGGAGCTCATGTAGGGGAACATTCTTGACCATAGGATTGGGATCATATGGGATTAATGCTAATGGTGGGACCATGTAATGTAAATTCCAATTTTGTAACTCTTTAAATAGGCATCCTCATTATCATTGTAACCAAGGTTCAAAATATCAACACGCCTAATACGTCGGTAAGGGTGTATTGGGTGATACCGATAGCCGTTTTTTGTTTTTTTTTTGTTCAAAACCGGTTCAGGGGCCGGTTTAAGGCTCCTCTACCCCCTGAATCAATCAGAACCCCAATAAACCCCCTATAGGGGTGTATCAGGAAGCCACCAACATGATACGTATCGACCAATACGGATCGATACGTATCGATACTTTGAACCTTGATTGTAACTAACTAGTTTGTCTTCACCCTAACTTGACCTTCCAATTCTTGAATCGAACCCGAATCTAACCCAACTAATAACTTGACCTTCGGTTCGATTGTATATTCTATAACACATTTTGAAAATTAAGCAGTCAAATTTATTAATTTGAGTTGAAATTTGGTTTATGGGCTTTAAGGTGTCACTCCTCCATGGGTAAAAGAATCAAAACAAACATAAAAGGAAACCATAAACTTAATAAGATTATAGAGTTAGGGTCATATGAACAAAATTAAAAGAAAACGATATATGCAATGGAATCATAACCCATTAGGGCCACAATGGCAAAACCCAAACCTGGCTCAAGTTAAAGCACCAAAACATTGACCTGACCCTACACATGAATAAGTCCCACCCATTGGCATCCCTGCATGTAACTATAAGTGTCGGGAATTGAACCTATGTTTTAATGGAATTGGGATTTCCTTCCAACAAAAAACTATTTCAACATGATATGTGTCCGCACATGTCATACATGGTGGGTTTCATTCTTATGGCAAGATGTGCAAACATAGTTATCAGCAAAATAATCAATACATACAAATGACAAAAATGGTTGATCACACTCCATTCCAAGAGTGAGAATCCAATGCCCCATGAATGATATGGATGGTCACTAACAATTTCCAATTCTCCATCTCCCTAAGGGACTACTGAGGTTCCTCGGAGGAGGCTTTTTAATAAGATGTTCCTTTTATTGAGGTTGCTTGCATTTGCCCTTTGGTTTTCCAAGTGTTTGTTATCCCCCATGGTTGGGCTTTTCCCTAGGTTA